CGAGCGAGCATTCGTCTTCCGGCCGTCGTAGCGTAAACTCGTTTTCGCTTACTGCGATCTCTTTTCTAGAAGATTCGATCAAGTAGAGATACATAGTTACGAGTCATTCGGATTTGAGATTTTATACGCGAGCCGCTCACGAGAGAAAACGACGGTCATCGCAGAAAGCAGCCATTGTGGAACGTTCCGGGAAGCCTTTCTGGCTCGAGGAAAGCAGCCATTGTGGAAAGTACTGGAAGGCCTTTCTGACACGAGGAAAGCAGCCATTGAGGAACATTCGAGAGATCTGTTCTTGGCTTGATCATTGCGACCTTTAATAATTAACTAAATGTCTCGGTATAGTTAAACGGCCTGACTGGCAAGTTTTATTAAGCATATCACAACGACGTTTCGACCACTATTTTGGGTCCTTTTCAAGTTATTTTAACAATGCTGGAATAAAAGAATGAAAGAATATATAAAAAATTAAAAAATTAAAAATTAAACAACATTACGCGTTGAACAGATTCACTAGAATATCGGTAAATAAGACTTACATAGATCATTGTGCGTCAATCATATAAAATTTGTGGCGGGTCGGAAAAATACGACGGTCTCATGTGAAGGCCGAACAACTAACGATACATTATCGCAAAATACAGTAAACATAGAAGGAGAACTTAAAGTGATACATTATCGCAAAATACAGTAAACATAGAAGGAGAACTTAAAGTGAAGATATTATTCGATCATAGACCAATGGCAGGTTTTCAGTGTCTTTCTGTGAGTTGATTGCCTCTTTATGTTTTTTAATAAATAGCATTTCAGAAATTTCACGTTTTTTTAAATTTTGTTCTTTGTGTAAGATTGTAACATCCTGCCATTTGAAGTTGTGGTCGGAGTCTGTTCTATGCCTACTGACGACCGAATGTTGGTTGGGGGGTTTTTTGATATCTGCGCGATGCTCTTTTATACGCGTTTCTAAATGTCGCTTTGTTTGTCCGATATAGCATGCATTGCAATCAGAGCAGTCAAGTTTATAAACGACATCAGTGCATCTCTTGATCTCCAATTTATCCTTCCCTTTCCTGATTAGTGTATCCATTTTCTTAGGGACCGTATATAAGGTGTTCAAACCGTAATTTTTGAACGTTCGGCGTAATCCCTCACGAAAAGTTTTTACGTAGGGGATGGGAACGTAATTTTTCAGATCAAGAGTAAATGCACTGCTTTCGTTGTTAGCGCTATCCTCATTATTCGATCGTTTGTTAATTTCTGAAATTCTTCTTTGAATGTGTTTGTTCACCAACAGGTCGGGAAAACAGTTATTTGACAATATAGTTTTCACTAACTTGATGTTCTCATCGTGAAATTGTTCATCCGACAATAGTATGGCCTGGTCAACCAAATTAATGACCGTGTTAATCTTATATTTCAAAGGATGACTGGAGAAAAAATTAATATACCTGCCAAAGAACGTTGATTTTTGATACCAGTTGGTGAACAAACAATTGCCGTGTCTAAAAACAGACGTGTTCAAAAAATTCAGGGCGTTGTTCTTCTCAAGTTCATACGTGAATTTGAGACGTGGATGATAGTTGTTAAAAGTACGGACAACCTCATTAAGTTTCGATTGCGGAATGCACATGAAAATATCATCGACGTAACGAAGAAAAATCTCGATATGAAAATCAAAGGATTGAAGGCAGTAAGTCTCCAAATCGTCCATAACGATATCGGCTAAAATAGGCGAGAGGGGGGAACCCATTGGACTGCCAAAGATCTGTTCGTAGAACTCACCGTCAAAAGAAAAACTAGTGGAGTTAAGAATCATTCTGATAGCGTGTAGAAATTGGTCCAGATTCATCCGGGTCTCTCCAGATATCGCATCCCACCTTTTTTCATTATTTACCGATATTCTAGTGAATCTGTTCAACGCGTAATGTTGTTTAATTTTTAATTTTTTAATTTTTTATATATTCTTTCATTCTTTTATTCCAGCATTGTTAAAATAACTTGAAAAGGATCCAAAATAGTGGTCGAAACGTCGTTGTGATATGCTTAATAAAACTTGCCAGTCAGGCCGTTTAACTATACCGAATTATTTCATCACTGGCGAATAACTTTTATTGAATAACTAAATGTCATATGAGAAGAGCTTTAATTATAAGGTAACCGCCTTTGATCTATATGAGAGAGAACGTTAGACGCCCGTCTAACATCTTAAGAAGGATCCCCGATTCTTTAATAGTGATCATTCTCACTTGCAGAAATCTTGAGAGCGCGTAGAAAGGGATACTTCCTCAATTATCGAAGAGCCACTCACCTTTAATGTCGAGTCAATTACTAACACTGAGCTCAGTCTAAATATATTCATTAATCTTTTCTCGCGGTTGCAACCATTTCAATAACGATTACACATTGTAAATTACTAATTGTTGTGCGATTGATATTACGTGATAAACACGAGACTTTTAGATTATTCACTTGATTCCTTTCTTATGCGTACGTGCTTTGCACTTAAAACTCGTTTCTAATACTTTATCTGCGATAATATATATTAACCGTTTGCTTGCTTTTTGAGAATATCTCCCAATAAATATTTACTTATATTCTTCACTTGATAACATTAGGTACGGTGCGTACATGCGTAGCATTCACAATTCGTTTATAATAACTTTACTTGCGATAACATATGTTAACCGTTTTCATGCTTTTTTGATAATATCTCTCGATATATTATTTATTGTATTCTAACCTTGATTATTCTGCGAATTATTAATATTGGACATTGCGTTCGCTTTATCGAATTAATGTGTCAATCAAATATTGAAAGCCTAATACTATTATAAATCAGTAAACTCAGTCAATTTATATTATTGCATTAAATACTTTACTTTTCTGAAATCAGAAACCTTTCTTTCATGGAAGGAAATTCAGTAACGAATGTTCATGAAGCCAATGACGATTATTAATGATCTAAACGATAGATTGATGCATTACTTCAATTATTGTGTTAAAATGTCTTTGCAATGATACTCATTTTTATTGTTTTGTGTAAATAACTTGAAAGATCCTTTCTTTGATATCTAAAAATTTGTTCTGTGCTTGACTACGTCAAGAGTAATTATATGCGAGCACATTCTATTATAATTCCTTTTAGAAAGAATCTTGTCATTTAATAAATGATTACATTCGAGACTCTGAAGTGTATTCGACAATAGCTCGAAAGAAAGGATTGTTCTTTATTAATCATTTCCTCTTTTATTATAATTTATACAGCTTACTTTTTTGTGAAACACCGAATTATATTTCTTAATATTGATTACTCGACAATCAAACAGCGATTAAGTCTTCAAAATACGAATTAAACCGAGGAGGTACACAATTTCTCTCTACCTACAAATTCTCGTGTCATTTTTTCCTTCCTCATCTAAATCAAGAGGCTAGGCTCGTGCGCGGGCTAGTTCCAAACATGATCATATATAATTAGTCAAAATAATTTTTTCTCTGAATGACTTTTTAAGGCCAGGTCAATGTGATCGATGTTTTTTTAAATGGAACACTCCCATATATTGTACTAGTACATCGTTTAAAAGGGCATAAAATGAGAAAAATTTTGGTGCAAACTAGAGGTCAATACGTTGACCCCTTCGGGTGTTATTTAGAGTCCAAAATTGACTTTTTCAAAATATGATCATAAATAACTTCCGAACAGATCAACGTATCAACCTCTGGTTTGCGTCAAAAATTTTTCTTTTTGTATGCCCTTTTAAATACTACATTATATACTACAATATTCCATTTAAAGTTTTTGAGTTAAAGTACTCTGGGGCACTGAAAAATTTTAAACTGTGACGTAATAAAACAGTTTAGATATCATATTTGGTTTCAGAGCGTCAAAATACATAAGAATACTATATGGTCTAATCTTCGGTTCAAACATGACAATTTTTTTTGTATGCCTGTGTACCCAAGGAGCGCCAATGCGCGTATAATGAGCTTTGAATGTACATTAAATTTTGCATTAAAAGCGGGTATTTGTCCCGCATTATATGCGCATTTGATGCCTATATATATATATATATATATATATATATATATATATAT